ATGCACAGATTTCCAATCCATGCATCTCTGGATTAATAAGTCATTTTCTGCTTTGAAAACTATTTGTTTTACCTCTAGATTTTTATGAAAAAGAAAGCGAGCCAGGAGATTGGAAAGAGAAGTTTGCCATGTATTTCCATTAAACAACATGGACCATTTTAGTTAAAGAACAGGGACATATTTGGAACCAAAGACCATACTTTTAGCTACTTGAGGTCATCTACTATCACCAAATGCTATTTTTATCTGACTACATATCACTAATATTATGTGATTTAGAAAAGGAACAAAAAATTCTCAAAAAACATTCGTATGAGATAATGAAAGCAGCCCATGTCAGACTTAAGAGGGAAACTGCACAGAGTATCCTCTTGCTAGTGCAGAGATAAAAATGTAGTGACCAAGAGAAGGAAATGCAGCCTTGCCAAGGAAAGTGATGACTCATGATTCAGGCAGTTGCTTACAAAAACTTTTAGAGAAAATATTCTCTGTAGAGTCTAGCAAGAACAGTTAAAGAACAGGGGCATATTTGGAACCAAAGACCATACTTTTAGCTACTTGAGGCCATCTACTATCACCCAAATGTTATTTTTATCTGACTATATAGCACTAATATTGTGTGATTTAGAAAAGGAACAAAAAATTCTCAAAAAACATTACTGTGAGATAATGAAAGCAGCCCGTGTCAGACTTAAGAGGGAAACTGCACAGAGTATCCTCTTGCTAGTGCAGAGATAAAAATGTAGTGACCAAGAGAAGGAAATGCAGCCTTGCCAAGGAAAGTGATAACTCATGATTCAGACGATTGCTTACAAAAACTTTTAGAGAAAATATTCTCTGTAGAGTCTAGCAAGCAAGGATATGGGAATTCCCTGCTATTCTCTCTAGAATAAGGGAGAGTGAGAATTCCCTTCTAAATGGGGACTGAAAAGAAACTGACTGCTCGCATGAGGACAGCAGCCTCTTTTGCAAAATGTCCCCACAGGCCACTGGACCTTAGCACAGCACTTGGAGCTAAAGCCAGGAGCTGCCGCGCTGCTGTGTGATCCAGTGGGCAAGAGATTTTTGTTCCTTCTCTAAATCACACAATATTAGTGCTATGTAGTCAGATAAAAATAACATTTGGGTGATAGTAGATGACCTCAAGTAGCTAAAAGTATGGTCTTTGGTTCCAAATATGTCTCTGTTCTTTAACTACTGTGGACTTGGGCAAGTTACTTAAACCAACTAAAGCTGTCTTTTTCTTTCATGTATAAAAGGGAGAGAACAATACTTTTCTCACAGGGCTCTCGGGAGCATTAAATGAGATGACACACACACACACACACACACACACACACACACACACACACACACACATGTTGTATTATGCTATCGTTGAAAATGTTTCCATTATGAAGTCACAACTTAAAAATAGTCACCTGGATGATTCCTCAAAATATTAAACATAGAATTACCATATGATCAAACCATTTTACTTCTAGGCATATAGTCAAGGAATGAAAGTTGGGACTTGAGATGATATCTGTACACTTCTATTTATAGCAGCATCATTCACACTAGCCAAAAGATGAAAGCAACCTAAGTATCCATCCATGGATGAATGGATAAAAATATGTGACACACACACACAAACACACACACACACACACAACACATACATAGTGGAATATTATTCAACCTTAAAAAGGAAGAAAATTCTGACACATGCAACAACATGGATGAAACTTAAAAATGTTGAACTATGGAATAAGACAGCTGCAAAAAGACTAGGATTGTATCATTACTCTTCTATGAGGTACACTTCTATGAGGTACATTTCTATGAGGTACTTAGAGCAGTCAAATTTATAAAGACAGAAAGAATAGTGGTTTCTAGGGACTGAGGTGGGAGAAATGGGGAGTTAGTGCTTAATGGGTTCAGAGCTTCAACTGAAGAAGATGAAAAAATTCTGGAGATGAATAGTCATGATGGTTGCACAACAATGAGAATGTGCTTAATGTCACAGAACTGTACACTTGCAAATTGTGAAAATGGTATATTTTATGTTATATGTATTTACCATAATAAAAAAGAAAAAAATAGGTTCCTTAAACACTGGACCTTGTAATCATTAAAATGCACTTGGTGTGGGTATGCCATGTACAAAATGCTCTGGATTTGTTTTTCATATTTTTAGCACATGGGGCTATTGATCGTCTACCTGGACAACATTTTAAAATATGAAGGACTATTTCAAATGTGACAAAAATAAAAACCTTTAGTGATCTTACCTCTGACAATATTAGACTGTAAGATAGATAATTTTTACTTTTCTACTTTCTGTTGATTTAATCTTATCTTGGAGTCTTATTAAGAGATCTTAGGACATCAGACAATGTATGTTGAGTTTGACAAAGGAAAGCAAGATGCTTTGGTTCCATTTTATTTATTTATTTTCACACTTTAAATCTTATTTTATTTTTACATTTTATAGAGATAGCATCTTTCTATATGGCCCAGACTGGTCTTAAACTCCTGGCCTCAAGCAATCCTCCCCTTTCAGTCTTCCAAAGTGCTGAGATTATAGACGTGAGCCACTATGCCCCATTTTTATTTTTTGAAGGCTTTAAATAAAACATAACTGACATTCAGTAAACTGCACATATTTAAAGTGAACACCCTGATAAATTTTAGAATATGCATGCCTCCCTGAAACCATCACAATTCAGATAGTGAACATATTTTTGTCCCCTCATAAGTCTCTTTGTGTCCCTTTGTAATCTCTCCTTCCATCTCATTCCTCGATACCACTGGCCCTATCCCCAGGTAACCAGTGATCTGCTTTTTGATATTGTGGATTCGTTTTCCTTTCTAGAATTTTGTGTAAATGGGATAATATAGGACTTATTCTTTTTTGGTCTGTCTTCTTATACTCAGCATAATTATTTGGAGATTGATTGATGTGTGTATTGATGACTCATTCCTTTTTATTTCTTAAGAGCATGCATTGTATGGATATACTACATTTTGAAAACCATTCACTTATGATGGACATTTCAGTCTTTGCTAATTTTGGACTTATAAGTAAAGCACCCGTAAACATTCATAATCAAGTCTGTGTATTGACACATGCTTTCTTTTCTCTTGGGTAAATACCAGGGAGTTGACTGGTTGGGTCACATGGTTGGTGTGTATTTACCTTTTTAAAAAACAGCAAACTGGTTTTCCAAAGTAGTTGTACCATTTTTTGAGTTTGCTTGCTCCACATCCTTGCCAGTATTTGAAATGACGAGTCTTTAACTTTAGGCATTCTAATAAGTGGTGTTTTATTGTGGTTTAATTTGCATTACCCTGATGTCTACTGATGTTGATCATCTTTTCTTATTCTATTCGGTAAAATATGCATTCAAGTATTTTCATCTTTTATTGGGTTGTTGGCTTTCTTATGACTGAATTTTGAGAGTTCTTTACGTATGGACACAAGGTCTTTATTAGATATGTGACTTACAAATATATTATCTCAGTCTGTGACATGTCTTGTGATTTCTTAAAGAGGGTCTTTTAAGTGGGCTCTTTTTTTATTTTTAGGCTAAGTGCTGGGGATTACAATTTTAAATAATGCATTTTAGTATTTCTAAGAACGTCCTACACATGAATTTCAAAACAGAATGTCAAGTGAAACAGAATTTGCTGATTTGGTGATAAGTTTGATGTGAACAAGTTTCTGGAGTACTCTCCATCAAGTCAATTAATGAGCTAAGTGATTAACTTGATCCTGCTAAATCAGGAGAGTATAATTCTGTACTGGCACTTCTAGTCTAATTTTTGAGTTTGTTTTAAACAACTCTAGAATCACACAATTAAAGTGATGTTTAAAAAGCAACAATTAATGTTGAGAATGAAAGGATTCATAAAACAGTTCATTTTTTAGACTCAACAAACATTGGTGCCATAGATTTAGAGAAAAATGCCTGCAGTTGGCAAGTCTGGCTCTGGGTACCTGGGTGTCGTTCACTTTCTGAGTCTACTACCAACTGCTGGCTCTCTCTGTGTGTCTCACAGCCACACTAGTCAGGACACAAGTCTGCACTGATTAGGAATGTTCCTAATCAATGGTAGGGATTGCCCTACCATCTCTGCTAGGCAGATTGCATGTGCATCACACAGAAAGCTCAGCCAAGAGGGCTGGTGGCCTTTGTTCATAAAGAGAAGTGGCTATGGCAGGTCTGCATGGTGGAAAGGCTCCTCTGGCATCAAACCATTTCACATTCATAATCTGACATAAAAAATCTTCGAGGAGAGTTTTACCATCTCCATGTGCTTATTTGCTATTTGAACGTCCTCTTTGGTGGAGCATTCATTTCAATACATCACTCATTTGCATTGGATTGTTTGTTATCTTGTTATTGAGCTTTCCAAATATTTTTTAAAGCATATTTTGGATATAAGGGATTTGCAAATATCTTCTCCCAGTCTGTGCGGCAAATATGTGATTTGCAAATATCTTCTCCCAGTCTGTGTGGCAAAGTCTTTTCATTTTCTTTCTATCTTAAGAGTCTCAGGAGATATTTCTCTAGTCAAAAAGTGTTCTCCCTGTGAGATATTCACATTAAATGAGTGTTTTTTCTTTCTTTTTTTGAGTTAGAGTCTCACTCCATCATCCAGGCTGGAGTGCAGTGGCATACTCACAGGCACCCCAGCATCAACCTGCTGGGCTCCAGTGATCCTTCCACCTCAGCCTTCCAAGTAGCCAGGATTATAGGCGTGTGCTACCATTTCTGATTAATTTTTTTATTTGTTTTTTCCTTTTTAAAATTTATTTTTTGTTATCAAAGAGAATGTCCAGAAACATTGAGTACTAAAGAATTTGTTCATGGCATTGTTTTACAAAAGTTTCTAATGGAGAGTGAATATTTTATTTTCTGAAGTAGCCTTCACTTATTAATGAAAAGTGGATGAACAAATGCATTTACTTAAAAAAAAACAAAAACCCAGACAACCTTATAAAGGAAAAAACATCCATTCTCATTCTGAGTCTGTTGATTGAAGTGAATTCAGTGGTCACATGACCACCACCAAGAATCAACGTCCCCACAGTGGGCGCTGTTCAGGCCTTCTCGATAGGTCATACAGGTCTCTCAAGTATAGGCACCATGTTTAAAGTCTCACACAAAATGTCCATGTCACTTAAATTACACAATGTGGCAGTGTTTGTTTTATGGGGGACATAGTTAAAGGGGCAAAGTAGAAAACAACCTGCTTGCATGTTATATGTGAGTACGTTATTGTCCTGTGCATGGGTCTGAGGGCACTGCAGCCCTTGTTAAAGAGGAGTTCCACCAATGAGGCCTCTGGGAGGTCCCAGCTCTTCTTGGTGTGAGGAGTCTACCCACATCCACACACCATGCTCTGTCAGGTCAGGGCTTCTTTCTGCTGTTTGGCTCAGATGGTCTGAACTGTGTTTGGCTGCCTGTCTCTTCATCTGAGCTCTACTTCTCAGCCTCGGGATACGTGGGGTACTTGACCGTTTCTATCTTCTCTCGGACCTTGGAGGAGGGATACAGGCCGTCCTTCCCAGTGTTCTGTTGACCCCTTTCGAATAGCCATCCCAGTGATTTCCAGCCACACCAATGATATCTCCAGGTTCCATGGGGATTTCATCTGCAGTTCGAGGCTGGTGAGGATAAATGGCAATCTGATTGTGGGCATTCTGGCCCCCAAAATAGTAGGTGTCATCTAGAAAATGGAAGTTAGCAGAGGCATCGGGATGCAGTGTTTGCATGATTTCATAAGCAACTCGACAGACCTGGGATGAAAAAGTACACACTAGAAAGTCTGCCTGAGAAAGAAAATGTATATCCAGGATCACACCCCGAAGTGAATTATCTATGTATCGATTGTGCAGTCCAGCTGACCAAGAGATGGAGTTATCACTAATCAATTCATAATTGGGGTACTTTGTTTTTGCCTGCTTTAATAAAGAAGGGTCATCTGTGGCCAAATACACTCTTTTTTTGTCTATTTGCATTCTGCGTGCGAGCAGCTGAAAATGTTCTTCAGCATGCACCATATACTCCTCGATGGGATGGAAGACAGCTTCTGTTCCCACTTTGTCTGTGCGTCAGACATGGGCTCCAATAACTGGATGCTTGAAGCCAAGCTTCTTGGTGGCCTCTTCTATTTCTTTTTCTAGCCAAGACTGTGGACGAATCCAGTATTTGACAAACTGGGACACCCACCACACTGCAGGATCACCATGTACTCGGACAAGTCGGTCTGCGAGGTCTTCTGGCACAGCCAAGGGTAAGTATGGAGGCCGGGGTGAAGGCTGTCCACAATGGGGAGTTCGACCACTTGCACATTTTTGTCCTTCACTTCACCTGACCAGTGTCCAGTAGAGATGCCAGATCTGTCTGTGCATGTCTCACTTACAGGTCTAAACACAGTCTCCCATCCACCAGTTGCATAGCGCCAGTTCTGAGATTCCAAGATGAGTGTTCTCTGGGTGCCATATGCAATCATGAAGCAGTAGACCACATAATGGAGTTGACAGCCATAGCCACAGCCTTTGTTGATATTACACACCAGATTTTTGGCTTTGCTGCAGTCCTTGGGATTCTGAAGATATGTTAAACTCCGTTGGACCAGTTCGGTCAGATCTTTGGCCTCTTTTTCCCGCCAGTCACCTGCTCCATCTATCTGACTGAGGTAGTATAGATCTGTCATTATAGACCTTTCATGGTGTTCATCTGCATGTCTTTGGAGTTCAATTCCTTCTAAGGACTTTAATTTCTTCAATTCCCTCTGTAGAAAAAACCAGAGCTCTGTAGCTCCATTTTCATTCCTCCTCCTCAGGATTTCATGATCCCTCCCCAGACCATTTCTGGTTTGTTTCTTGTAATTTTCAATCTGTTCTTTGGCCTTAACAAGGTGCTCTTCTAAAACACGGACCCTTCCTGTAGCTGGCCCCTGATCAATGGGGCCTTCTGGTATCCGGAGAGATCCAGCCATTTGCCTCACGTCTTCATTCTGCTGTTTTAAGCGTTCGAGCTTTGCCAGAATCTTGGACAGTTCTCGGCGAGAGTGATCAGGGTGGTCATTATCTCGTACCAAGTGACCACCTATATAAAATAGCAAAGCCCCCCAGGCAAAAAGAACGAGCATAACCCAACGCCAGGAACCAGTCCATGGCCACATTTTCAGATTTTCAACTCACTCCCCTGGACTCCTGGAGCTCAAAGAATTGGAAACATTTTACCTCTTGTTTCTAGTTAGCCCACAGGTGGACAGATCTCTGTTGCTTCAATACATGATGCTTCAGACAAATTACCGTCTGTGTTAGTCTTGGCGAATCATTCAAAGAGATCCTCTTGGTGATATGAGTCGGAAGCTATATTGTCCTGTGCTTCGTGGACTCTACATGCTTCCTTCCTCTAGAACATAGGATGCTGAAGGAACCACATGATATTTCCAAAGAAAGGTATTATTGCTTGATCTGAGTCACTAAAATTACCAGCTGTAGTCCCAAGCCCTCCGGAGGCTGAGGCAGGAGGATCACCGGAGCCCAGGAGGTCAAGACTGCAGTTGAGCCACGCTTGCACCACCGCACTCCAGCCTGGGTGAGAGAGTGAAACCCCAAAGAAGAAAGCGTCTGGCAATTTCACAGCCAAATCAGAAGCCATGGCCGTGGTCTTCAGTCAATTTATTCTCAGTATGATTACCCCTGTGCAGGCCAGCCTGGGCAACACCGCAAGAGACCTTGTCTCCGAGGCTGCCCCGCGCCGGGGGGACGGGGAGGGGAGGGGCGGCCGGGCGGAGGATGCTACTCGCGGCCGGAGGGCGAGCGGGAAACCGAAGCAGGAGCCGCCGCCGCCGCTTACCGGAGCCGCCGGCGCCACTGCCGGAGGGAGAGCGCGGGGCGGCGCGAGCCGG